ATATATATAACTTTTTAGGAATGTTTATATATTTGAATGAGGGACTAATCCCGTGTATACGGTTGGTGTCTTGATGAGAGCCAATAAATTTTTAAATTGCTCGTCATTTGCATCTCGTATAAGCTTGAATATAACGTTTTCAGAAGTAGTTATGTGACATCCAATGTCTCGCATTCTCTGTGAAGAAGATACGAGCAATATATAGATATGAGAGAGATAATTCTGTATATGTGCTTATTAATTACACAATTACCTCCAAAGCTAATAATCTGTCTTCTAGAGTACGTGAAGAACAACAGTCTGCCACTGTATGAACTTCATAGCCATATCGTCTTAAATCAATAGCTGTATTTTCTACACAGACATGTGTTTCAATACCTATGAGTATAATAGATTCTGGTTTCTGTCCATTACAAAGCGTTGCAAGCTCCTTATTAATCTAAAAAAATATTCATATTTATGTAATAATCATCTAATATTATAACTACATTTTATAGAATATAAGATAAATAGATACTTACTTCAGGAGTACACATACTAAATTGAGTTTTTGCGAAAGGTCCTTTGGCTCCAGAGATATCGAATTCAGGAATGGTTTTCCCTAAAGACTTTGGATTCTGTTCAGAAACCAGCATAGGTACATTTAAAATTTTCAGAGCATTTATCTGTGAAAAATAAAATAAATTAATATTTTATTTTACAATAAAGTATGGTGCAACAATATTTAACATCAATTTAAAAATAGATGATGTTATGTAATTATGAAAAATAACATAACCTCGATATGTATCAATTCTCTCCCGATATAATGTAATGTGAATCATAATGTAAAGCATATGATCTAAGAGATTTACCAATTTTGTTGAGTTTTGAACCATCTTATCGAATTGGAATATCGCCTTTGTGAACTTTTCCTGAACATCGCATATAAATAACGCGGTATATCCTCGCTTGAGTATAGCCTTTGCAGGATTAATAGCCATCTTTATATTATTGTTTATATTGTATAAAAAGTACTCTTTAATTTTAATGAACACGAGAGGATGTCCAAATGTATAAAAAGTCGTGTCTTACAAAATTCGTGGAAGTTATTGAAAAGCATATATGACGTATTCGACTTGCTTTTATATGCATGATATGGTCATGTGACATCCGGAGTCCAAGGTTTATTTCATTATCACACTATCAACAAATGATTAGTGTTTCAAATAGATTGAAGGCTAGAGATACTTTATACAAAGTCATATTAGTTGGCAAGCGCGATTAAATATTATATGATTATAACTTTATTATTGAAAAGAAGCTATTTTTTTCTATCTCTGAGGGATGTTTTGTTTGATGCTTAGTTCTTTAAATAATAAATAATATAAATGAGGCTAGATGAAATTTTTATTTTTTTATCTTATCGTTTCATCATTCCAGTCGAATTTATCATTCGTAACAACAATCCTAGTAGATACGATATTCCGAGTAGAAACAATAACGCACTTAGACGCACTGCATCTCTTGTTTATTTTTGCGTTGCATAAATACGCACCATGCATCGGCGCAATGTTATCAAATCGAGAAAAAGGTTCACTCATGCGCGATAACCGAAAGTTATTTCGCAGTCACGTGCGTATTTTATCGCAAAAGTGGTACTGCTATAAAAAAAAACAAAAATTAAGGTTCATCCTCTTTTTATCTCTAAAAATGACTTTCTGATTGGCTATGAGCTACTTTTAGAGGTACTTATATTGATAAAAGGGATTTAGAATATAGGCCTAAATCATTTCCTTTCTCATTTCGCTCTCTAATTATCTGAAATATATTTCATCGAACGAATTTACATGATTCTCATGTAAGAGCTCTTCGTTGCCTCTCTATATTACAGTGTATGTTGCAATGGATTTGAATTGATTAAACTGGATATGTATTATGAACTCCGGTTTGAACTAAAAGTGGAAAATATTAACAAACTTGTAGAATTACTTTTACATATTATTATCTTATCTTTTTTGAATATTAAATATCTAAGATTCAGTTGTATCAATTGTTATTATTTATAATTGCATTTATTATCTATAATTGCGTTATAATTGCATTTATTTTAAGATTAATACAAATTAAGGCATTCTATGTCTTACTTTTGCTCTGATGCAATAAATCTAAAGTTTTAAGTCTTTCCTAAAAAGCCAAAATATTATTGATGTAATCGGGCATTACGAGCTAAATATCTATAAATTAACTATTATTTATATCCCAAAGTAGAAATCGAAACCCATTGCAATCGAAAATGTTATTAAGCATCGAAATTGTGTGAAAATCGCCCCGAGTACGGGGCGATCTGTCAATGCGCGGTCGCGCTGCGCAGATTTCTAGAGGTTGCGCGAGCGCTGCGTGGTGGGGGTTTTCTCACTCGATCTGGGGACACTCGACCGAGCCGCGCCGTAGTGCAGTAGTTAAACAATGTCCCGAATGAACGGGAGTGTGCGTTGCGACTAGGAAGGAAAACGGAAGCTCGAGAGCTCGCGATCTTTTGACGTTTCGTTATGAAGTTCGCGGAGTACGCGCGATTCGCTTAACGCGCGCGTTCGATCGGTGCGTCCAGTGCTCTCCGTTCGTCTTTTTATCTCGCGTCGTGTCCCGCGCATCCAGCAGGAACGTCCGCAAAACGCAGGATGGCTGTGGAACCTCGCGTGACCGGGAACGCGAAGCCCCTGGTGCCGCTCTTCACGAAGGCATCTGACTGTGTCAACACCAGCTGCTATTGGTAAGTGTTTCCGCGCGCGCGACCCGGCATTACCGCGGTCGGCCTGCCGATCGATCCTCTAACAAACAAACGCACCGTATTGCGGCATGCACCCGTGCCTCCGATCGATACGTTGCGGCGGCGGTGCGGAGCCATCTTTCACCGTAGCGAGCGCGCGGCGCGTGATTCAAAATTACGGATGAGCGGGTCATTTTTGGGGAGCTATGGTTCATTTAACGTTTCAAATGCGACGTTTGATTGAACAAAGACCTTTATGAATTGACCACTCGAAAAAAATGCCTCGAAGCATTTGTAATATCATCAAGTAGACTGTACTTTCGATGACACAAACTTATTTTTTTATTAGATCTATTCTTTTTAGCTGAACTTGTACGGTTCGTCTCTCCATATTAGAGAGAAAAAGAGAAAAAAATGAACGAGAAAAAAAATGAAAGTTCAACTAGGCTAAAAAAACAGATTTGTTGTTACACTGATTGTTACACTGTTACCGCAAAGTTTTCCGCTAAAGTTTTCTTTCTCATTTTTACTTCATTTGGGACATGTCTGTTTCATTTTAAGTACAAGTGTATGCTAGTACTGCTATAAAAAATAAATTTAAGGTACCATTAAAGACCGACTGTCTCATGAAAGTTTGCTGTTAAAAATTTAGGCTTCATAGTGTAATATTTCTCCAGAGCATAATATTTTTTTATTATTCATTATTATCCTGATGTTTCTTAGATATATACATACTCAGATAATACAAAGTCCAAAATCGGGTCAGTCGTCTTAAAAACATCTTTGCGAAAGACATCTAAAAGATTTTTAAACTTTGTATTGTTTGGATGTGTTTACGATGTGGTGCAATATAGTGCAATATTTAATTTTATTTAAAACTGTATTTTGATTGTATAAACATATATGATTATGTAAACATTTGCGAAAACAATTTATAATTTTGTGACATCAGCATTATTATGCATTATTTATAAAGTATCTATATAATAACATCATGAATTTAATAAGGCTTAATTGTTTAAATATTTGTCGAGCAACGAGAAATTGATTAACAATCAATGATATCGATACTCTCCAATCATCTCTGAACTACCAGACTTTTTGATAATCACGAAAATTTCTTAGGATTAATGAGCTTTAATAGTCTTATCTAATCGATAATCAACAGCAAAAACAAAAGTCCAGTCGTACGCTAGTTAGAAAATTCAAAGCTGAATTTATGATAAATAATAGCTTATATATTTGTTTCTTATGGATTGAATTCACTTACGAACGGTTTTGATCCACAGTTCTCGAAGATTCGTAAATGTAATTTAATGGATAGATTCCCTATCGATAAATGTGTATATTTCGACGCAAAGTAACCTGTTTTAAAGAAATCAATAAATATATAGGTCGGAGACTTGACGGGAGCTTTGAGCGACTGCTTATTCGCATTTTCTACTCCGACTGCTTCCTGCGAATTTTTCTTTCGACGTACCCAATCCAGCCATGCTGGAGTACCATGCTGTTTATTGCCGGCTCTCTCACGTACCGTTCAAACGGCGCGAATACACGAGATCGCTTTTATTGCAATTAATAATGCATGCGATTGATAATGTACACGAAACGAGGCAGCACACGCGAAGCCATTGTCGCGTTAAACCGCTTGCATGAACATGATTATGGATCGATTTTATTTTTCTTGTAATTGCGCAGAACACGCAGAAAACGGTTTGGGGGAAGTAATTCTATTTTTTTTTTTTTATTAATACGTCGTGATTAGCCCATCCAACAGCTATGCACTGTATAAACATTCCCTCGCGATTTTTCAGAAATCGAACTTCTCTTATTTGCAATTTTATATCAGTATTATGATACGATGTATCTTTTCTATTTTTTTATACTATCATGTAATATTGCAATTAATTTTTAATTTTTCATATATGTTCAATATAATCCAACATCCATAATTTAATGATGTATTCTATAAAACACAATAACTATATAATGTGATATTTTATTATTTATTAACTTTTATATTAATTATTTTGTTTCAATAATTCATATCTTTTATTGATATTAATCTTGCATATAAATACTAAATAATTTTATGTAAAAATCTTTCTGACTTTTTTCTAAAAATAATTTATGAATTAAGAATTAATATGTATTAATTTAAATGTATTAATAATCATTTTTTGTTTATTATCTATGATATACATAATAAATTAAATATTCGTATACATTATATATTATATTTAACTATATTAAACTATATTAAACTATATATTTTTTTCATAAAAACGAATTGGTATATCGTTCGAAGGTTTCTGATCGAGAGTAAAGAGTGATATGTACTCAATTTCAGCGAGGAAAACGTATGGAAGCTTTGCCAAGATGTAGCGACTAGGCATCCTTCTGAACTGCAGCATTGTCATGTCGTTTTCGTAAGCAACCCACGACGAAGTGTTCCCCTTTGGCGTCAACGATCGGGAAAAGACGAGGACAAATTAGTCGTGTGGGTTAGTACAGTAATAAAATAATAATTATAATAATTAAAATAATAATTAAAGGAATGCCTTAGTGCTCCTGTCTTCCGTAATATTTCACAACATCGTTCTGTCTTTGTAGGACTATCATGCCATTCTCATCTACGCACCCGACGAAAGGGCGGTAGTGTACGATTTAGAAAGCTGCCTGCCGTTTCCCACGCATTTCTGGAAGTATGCGACTGAAACTTTCCGATCTGACGAAGCGTTGCGACCGGAGTATCACAGAAGATTCCGTCTGGTACCCGCCAGCGTGTACTTACAACAGTTCGCATCAAATCGGCATCATATGAAGCGCAAGGACGGCACTTGGATCAAGACACCGCCAGATTATCCTCCGATTTCTACACCAAGTATGTCGGACGCTAACAAATTTCTGTGAAATCTGCAAATGATATTCTGCATAATTCTCGAAGCTTTGAAAATCATATTCCTTCAAATATAGTCGGAACTGTCATCCTTAAAATGAGCACATTCTTCCTCTTGTTTTCTAATATTTATTTACTTTAATTTATCTCTTTTTTTCTTTTAATTGTAATCGTTTTCCATATATCTTGCACGTATGTATGTAATATAATGATCTGTTTGATACTTTTTATTTATCGGTTGCATTTCTCATACATTTCAGCCTGCAAGGATAATCTCGATTCGTTCATCAACATGGAACCAGGAACCGGACTAGGCGTTGTAATGAGTTTGAAACAATTAGTTAATCGATTTTATAGGCCAAATGTAAACACACAGGCGCCGACGCCGCCTCAGCCGCAAGCTACAGCAACTTAAATCGCAAGTTGCAACGCGTGCAATGATTGTACGCTTTGATTAAACATCTTGAAAATCAATTGTATGGCCTAAGGGAATTGGTTTGGTGCATGCACCTTCGTGGGCTAAAATATTTGATCGAAATTTGATAATAATGTTAGTTAATTGCTGTTAATTACGGCAGAATTTCAAATATAAAGTCGTTGTGTATTGCTGTTTGAGCGGAATTTGCTCGGAGAGCTCGAACCGCGGTAATTTTAGCCAAATTGAATTTATTATCGCATTGTGATACTTTTTGTCAACGTTTTGTCACATTGTATGTGGATATAGAATTTAAATAACTTTATTGATTTATTTATTATTTTTCTTGTCTTTTTTATCTCTGTGAATATTTCGTACATAAATCTATGTCGTGAAATCAATAAGTACATGAAATTATTAATACAAGTATTAATTATTTATCTTTTATTATGAAATCAATAAGTACATGAAATTATTAATACAAGTATTATTATTTATCTTTATTATTAATCGAGATATCCCGATTCTAGATAGAAAAGTTTAAAATCTCATGTTTTACTCACAATCAAAATCTACGTATATTGATAACAAAAACATGCACTTTTTGCAACATAATATGAGATTGATGTTTTATTCTTCAATCGAGTGATTTGGCTTGTCGCGCATGAAGAACGATTCTGCTGAGCTGCTTTTTGAATACTCTCGATAAGTGCTTATGCATCGTATTAATGAACTCCATCGAAATCCATTTCTCTCTTCCCCCCCCCTTCTCTCTCTCTCTTTCTCTCTTTTACTAAAGTTTCCTTCGCAGAATTTATCCGGAGGGATGTTCTCCTCTTCCGGCAAATGCAGCACATTGTATTCGATCACGTTCTGAACTCGAGTCGTATTTTATATAAGTACTTTCGTCTTCATGCCATAAAGCAATTTCTCACGGCTTTACTCTGTCAGTGGTGTTATTATAATTATTGTGTCAAAGACTGATGTATTTACAGAGAATTATCCGACTTGATAGAGATCCCTTTGTCTATCGGCGCGTGCTCGAAGCGCGGGACTCAATTAAAAGCGCTTATAATTATTGTGCGATCGATGTAGTAAGGTCAAGAACTTAATCTTTGCGACGTAATTATTACGATTATTGTAATTCTTGTGATACTTTACACTTTCTACTTTGAATACCTATGCTATACTTACCATTTATACTAACAGCCGATTCTTAAAAGATATATATTCGCTTGTTGAGCGGCTTCCCTAATTGGCGTATTAAATTGAATGAATACGCGACATTGTCACGCGACCAATTGTTAACATCGAAGAACCTGTTGACTCAACAAACGCACGTTGTTTAGTGATGATAGGAACAAGTTTTACGACGAATGCTTTAAATTTCCTATCTGTTCTATAAATAAGAGAAATATGCTCTTATCTTAAGATATATTTTATTATTATTTTTTTACTTTACATGAAATATTGAATATTTTATTATATACCTATTCAATTTATTAATGTCTTGTTCTTGTGCGGATATGCGATTAACTCTTTGCGATTCGTGAATCGAGTGTGAATGAATAATATACATTTAAATGTTTGCAATTATAGAGTGGCCTTCATACACCAGAATAGCCAATCTTGGATATGAGTGTAAAATAAGTGTAAAATGCTTGCCACCTTCGATCAGTATGATGTAACCTTGGAACGCAAAGGGTTAAATCGCGTGTTATATTATGCACATTTTATCAGATGTGGCAGTTCAGCCTTTGTGCAGGCTTTCTTCTTACGATCTCTACGTATTTTATTATTTAATAATGATGTGAATGTGAAAAGGATTCTATAATTTATATAAGAATATTGAAATATCTTTTTCAATTTAATCATTAGTTACCTCATTTTCGGACGAGTACAACGGGGAAGTTTATCAACAAGCAGTTACTATCGAACTATCGACTCGACGAGTTGGTGCCGCAAATGATGCACCAATCATTTTGTGGAAGGACTCGCCGGTCGGATCGATAGTTTTAAGAGTTCGTCCACTCTTTGCCTTCCAAAGTCTCTCACTAGTTCACTCTTTCTCATTGACACATGTTTACCTCCAGTTCGCATGTATCATGTTACTACGAGCGTACGTACTTGTAAGCGGAGGAGTTACGGTTTCGAAGTATCTAGTCACAAAATTGCTTTAATGTAAATTATGAGACAGCAGTCTCTATGACAGGATTTTCTTTTAATGGACGCGCAACGCGTGGTAAATTCGGGACCGATCTTCTTAGCGAGTAATCACGAGAAACTTTATCAAAAGACAAAAATACCGAAAAAAA